TGTTTTGGGTTTTTTTTCCAAAAGGAAATATTGCTACTTAGCCCCTAAGCTTTAATTATAAGATTTAACCCTTAAGTTCCTCACCTCATTATAATTTTAACTCCAAATTTAATTTTATCACATATACACCCTCTAAGAACTTAAATAATTTATTTAAATATTAAATAAGAAATCCTTGGGCATTACATTGTGGGTTTGGATTTGCGAAGGACTAGCATCTGTACTTGTTCTAGACAATGCCCGAGGTTTCTTCCCAAGTACAGGTTTGTTGATTTGGTCGGTTTGGTGGGTGTTGGCAAGAATTCAAGAGAGCTAGGTGCATTGGCAGTCTGGGATTCTATTGCTTTCTCCAATTAAAATTTTTTCAAAAGTAAACATCAATATCAAGATATCCAAATGAACCGAGGTTTCGGGGTCAATAGTTCATTTTCACATCTTAGTGCTTAGATTAAATTGGTCAAAAGTTAGAATCTGACCAACTACTTGAAAAAATCCCCATTCTCCCATAATTCCCCAATGTTCAAAAATATATATATATCAAGATATCCAAATATTTTTAATTTGCATAATAAATAAAATTTAAATAGAATCTATATTATATATATTCCAAAGGATTCTCAAGATATGAATCACACTAGGATTTCCTCATTGATGCTAGAATGAACCCGATGATTAACTTGTTTTGGTCATCGAGTTTGGTTCAATTAGTAAAACTGATTTGACCGACCAAATCAACTAGTCAATCTAATAAATATTATTTAATTTATTTTATCAATTATAAATTATTTTTATTTTAATTGATTTTATTTTTAAAATTAATTGAAATCATTTTTATATTAATTGATCAAACTAATTATTAATTTTTAAGACTTTATTTTTAAAATTTATTAATTTAAAATTAATTTTATTAAAATACATAATATATATTTTTTAATAGGTATCTAAAATATTGATATCATATTAATTATAAAATTATCTTTTCCTTATATTGATTTTTTTCTAAAATTGTTTTAGATAAATTTTAATTTTAAATTAATTTTATTTAATTTTAATTTTAAAAATATTTCATTCATTTTATTATCTAAAATAGTAATTGATTTTATTTCTAAAATTACTTAAGATTAATTTTAATTTTAAATTGATTTCATCAATTTCATTATATAAAATAGTTATTTATGTTATTTTTAAAATCAAATTGATTTATTTTAAATTAAAATTCCTCTCTAATTTGAAATTTTAATTTAATTTCAAATTACATTTAAATTAATTTAAAATTTTTCATTCATTAATTGTGATTTGATTTTAAATAGATTTTACAATTTAATTATTATATTTTCTATTAATTAAATAAATAGAAATAAAAAAGACAAAAAAAAGTGAAAATATAAAAAAAATAAAAGGAAAAAGTTGAACCAATCATGTCAATCATGTTGACCAGGTCTGCGCGGTTTGATTGATTTTGAGCAAGTTTGACTAGATTTGGACGGATTTTGACTAAATTTGACTTTAAACGAGTAAATATTATCACCCAGCCTATTTTTAGAATCAGGTCTGGTTCAACCAATTGAACCAATCAGGTCGGACTGGGTTTAAAAATAGTGGGTATTTGATTTTAACAACCAATTTGTATTTTTCCTAATTATGTTACATTTTTTCTCTTATTTTAAAATATTTTGTTGCTAAAATTTTAAAAATATTTAGGGATAAATTAATTTGAAAGGATATTGAGTATGTATTTCTTAATTAACTTTCATTTGACAAAAAAAGATTAAAAGATTAAAGTACAAATATATAAATTGTTGGACTGGATTTTGCGAAGGACTAGCATCTGTACTTGTTCTAGACAATGCCCAAGGTTTCTTCCCAAGTACAGGTTTGTTGATTTTTTTTTTTTATTTAACAAGGGTAATAGTTAGAAAGTTAATAGAGTTAGTTGTTAACAACTTCAATTTGGCAAGAATTCAAGATAGCCAGGTGTATTTTCGGTCTGGGATTCTATTGCTTCCTCCGGTTAAAATTTTTTCAAAAGTAAATATCAATATCAAGATATCCAAATGAACTGGGGTTCGGCCAGTAGTTTGTCCTCACATCTTAATGCTGGAATTAAGTTGATCGAAAGTTAAACTTCAACCAATTACTTGAAAAAACCCCTTATTTCCCCATAGTTCCTCAATACTCTATATATATATATATCAAGATATCCAAATATTTTTAATTCGCATAATAAATAATATTTAAATAGAATATATATTATATTCTAAAGGATTCTCAAGGTATGAATCACAATAGGATTTCCTCATTTCTGCTAGAATGAACAGAGTCTGTGCAATTGATAGACTAATGCAATTACAAAACCTAATCTAACTAGGAAACAATATATGTATAATATATACACAATTATAGCCATCGATAATAAAGATCTAAGAATTCTAGGAGGAGATTTACTTTCTTTAATATATTTCAGTGGTTTTGTAATTGTGATTAAACGTTGCATTTCTTCAAAGATTTAGTTTTTTTTTCTAAAAAAAAGAAGGATGCATATTTTTATCTTTAATTTACACAAAAAAATAAAAATTGATTTAAATTTTATTAATTGTTTAATTAAATACTTTCACTTGATATTAATGTTAAAAATAAAATTTATTTTAGTAATTTTTTTATATAAATTAATAAAAAAATATAATAAATATATTTTTTACTTATAGGAAGAGAAAAACCCTTCTAAAAAAAGTGGCATTCTATTATTGACACCTGTTTTTTCGAGGTTGACGGCAGTAACGAAGCTGCTCTTCTATCTTCTGTACAAATAGTGGGCTTTCGTGCATCATGACATTAATCTTCATGTGGTTTAAAAGTGTATATCATATTAAATTACTGTAGTTAAGGAATTTGAAGCTGACTTAAGGAGACGATTTTAAGAGGAATCAATCCTTGGGGTCTTGGTTCGTTTATAGTGTCATGAATATTTTCGGAGTTCTCTATTTTGTAATTTAACTCTAAATTGTTATGAATCATTAGATAAGATATAGCTTTTAATATTAAAGAATTTTTTTTATTTAATATAATTTAATTTGTGTAATTAAAATTGCACAATATTTTTTTAAAATATTTTTAGTAGAATAATTTTTATTACTAATACTTTGGTGGAATAGTCATGAAGTTAAACAAGACTCAAACTCTTTTTTGATTAATTTAGGCAAAGTTTGGAGATCCATGAATAAGACTCCTACTTTCTTTGGGACTAGTGCATTGCTAGCTTCTTAGTACCACATGCAATGGGTGTAGACCATGATTGGCCAAACTACTTGATCTCCGCAAGAAGCTAAGTAGTCAAAAAAATTTAATAATTTAAGATGCTCATAACAACATTTTATTACTTTAGTAGCTATATTAATTATGCCCAACAATTATTGCTACTATAATCTCTTTATACAAATGGCTCTCGATTATATTCATCACATAAGGGCATAGTTTATGTTTGTATTTAGTGTTATAAAATATGTTTTTATTTTAGCCATAAATCACAATATAAAAATTTATATATAATATCAATTTCATTATTTTAATACAACTTTTATTTTATAAAAATAAATGTATTTGTATATGCCCATCAAAGATGCAAAATATCAAATTTTTTAAAGAAATTAAGGGCATATTATTATATTAATTAAAACGAATGTTTTACATCAATTTTTTTTTTTTTGGTGAGCAGAATATTTTGACATTGATCATTTATTACGATTATGTTATGAGTATCCCTAAGCAGGTGGGTTCCACGGATAGCAAATATAAAATATATTGGATAATTCAATTTGCAGAGCGCCAGCGGGTTGGATTGTCCATAAATACGAAGGATGTGCTTCCACCTCGTCATAGTCATAGTCTCCCTTGTTAATGAAAATATGAAACCAGTGGGACTGGTCTTGCCATTCAAAATTGCAGTAAAATTGTGTTGTACCCCAAGGATTACTGTGAAACTTAAATCCCCATGAAAACTTTGTAGCGAATCTTTTGTAATCCAGGATCATCTTCCTTTGACTTGCAATGAAGACTAAGTTCGATATCTGGGCCTATGTAATTGAACTTTCGAACGTGCAACAACTCTGGATGAAATAGACCACGGGCATCACTAGTTGTTAGGAAGAGCCCTAAAAGGATAAGTAGCACAAAATGTTTAGGAGAAGAAGACATTGTTGTGTACATTACAAACCTTAGACTTTCTATCATTTATATAGACTATAGTAGAAAATAAAACACCAAACAATCGTACTTTGAAAATGTTTTGCTTATCCAACAAGGACGATCCTCAAGGAAATAAATCAAGAAAGGATTTCGTTATTGACTTAATTCCAGAAATGGTCTTAATTTCTAGACAAGTGTGCAGCTGAAACTCCATTTTCTCCAACTCACATGGGAAAAAAAAATTTGAAAGTCTGTTACTGAACTTATTAGGCAATTCGAAATCAGCCCGCGAATAGAAAACATGAACAAATTCACCCACTCTCAAATGTCCATATATATATATATATATTTCAGGTATGAATTTTTATTTTTGTTTTTTCGGTTTAGAATTGTTTACGTTTCCTCGTTTTTTCCTCCTTTTTTTTTTTTCATATTGTTTACATTTTGATTAAAATTATATTATCCAGTAGAAAAAAAAAGAAGCTTAATTTGATTCCCACAGGGATGATGATAATATATGCAAGCGTTAGGATTCATTTATATATAAATCTTGTACATTAAATTTATACAAAATTTTGATTACTCATCTTTTTATTTTTAATGATTAAGAATTATTAATTTTTTTATTATATTTATTAAAAATAATTATTTTTTTATTTGAAAAATCATGAAAAATCTCAATTATTAAAAATAAAAAGATGAATAATAAAAATTTTATATAACTATAATAGGTAAAACTTGTATATAAATAAATATCTATTCTATAATTAATGCACTTGGTCTATAAATCCCTGTTATTGAACATTTGAATATGCAGCATCTCTAGATGGAATAGACTGCGATTATCACTGGCTGCTAGGAAGAGCCCTATAGGATAAGGAGCTTCAAATAATCCGACTTTTGAAAATGTTTTGATTATCTAAAAAGGACCCTCAAGGAAATAAATCAAAAAAAAATTTTTTTGGTATTAATATTTGAATATTTAATAATCATATTAAATTCTAATTAATTTGAAATTAAGTTACATCAGATCTTATTAGAGAAGCTTTTATAGCATCTATTTCTCCATTCACAAGATTCAAATTTAAAAGTTTACTTAAGGAGAATCGAATTCCTTTCACTCGAATCAACAAGCCGTTGGTGAAATAAATCAAAAATGTACTTCTTTATTGACTTATTAAAAATACTATATAATTATAATATCACATAATATTATAAATTTAATTATAACATAATATATTATTATATAATTAATTTTTTTATTTACTCATAATATTATATATTTATTTAATATTTTATTATACTTATTTAATA